AAATATTGTGAATTTCTGTTTACGTATTGTAAATACAGGGTATTTATCAGTCTAGCAGTGCAACAGAAAGGAGTAAATGCGCTTTGGTCTATAGTCCAGTTGCAGTCACAAAGAATGTGATTTATTTTAAATGCATAGAGAATTGTTTCGTAAGGGAGCTCACAATTTAAGTATCTTATAACAAAGAGAGAGAGAGAGAGAGAGAGAGGGAGGGAGAAAGTGAAAGTTGACACCTTTGGGACGATAATGTCCCACAGAGTGGCCGTCAGGTTTTATCTAAGTTCGGTGCAACGCAATTGCAACATGTTGCAGGCAGCTCGAGCATATTGCCGTTTGCTAAAGCAGATGTTGCTGCTAATGCTCTAGAACGAATATTCCTCGAGAGGGACACAGAGAGAGCGAGTGAGACAGAAAGAGTAACGAGAACAGAGCGAACAACTGACAGCTTGGCTAAAAGTGAAGGCGATAAAATGTTGGAGCGTTCGCAGCCATATGACATGATTTTTAAGTTCTGATTCGGCATCAACTTCAGCTCAAGAACTTGCCGCAGGACAACGACGGCCGACGACGACGACTGCATGCAAACTGCAGGCAACACCAGCTGCAGCAGCAGCAGCAGCAGCACCGAGCAAAAACTTTTGCTTATCTGCGTCATAGCCGCTAGCCCGCAACCGTTGCCCAGAAAACCAGCCACAGAAACAAACCCGCACCCGCACCCGCACCTGCACCCACTCACACTCCCATTGGCTAACCCTCCACTGCTTAGCCGAGAACGTGGCAACGTCTTGAGGCAACTGCAGCAGAAGCTGTTTCGTCTTTCTTTCTTGCTCCTTGCTAGACAGACTGCTGCAGCACATCCTTGTCCTGCGCCTGTATACAGCTGACTGCTGACTGCTGACTGCTGACTGCTTGCTGCGATTTCTACACACGCTGCTCGTCTGCTCGACTTGTTGTTTGTGCGTGTTGCATTTTATTTGTTGCATAAAATTGGGTTTTAGTGGATTTTGTGGCAAATGATTTTTGCTGCTGCCGTTAGTTACGCTTGCATAAACTTTAATTTAATTTCACAACACACCGAACGGCACATAAAACTTGGCCAAAGTGAAATGGAGCCGTGCCTGCAGCCAAACCAAAATAAAGCATATCTGCCGAGCGCATCAACTTGAGCAGCACGATTATTGCCTTTAAAGTTTTGTTTAAAATATAACAAAAAGTTAAATGTATATAGCTTATATAATTAGGTGTTACCTCTGCTGCTGATAACATGCACAGAGTTAAATGCAAAATGCCTCTTTTAGCTATGTTGCCTTGTCGTAAAGGATGACCAAATAAGACCAGTGTCGATAACAAGATCAAACTGTTGGACTATAAAATACGAGTTTTCATCTTATCATAAAATATATCTTTGAGCCGAATCGACTTGAGTCTTCTTCTGTACTGCTTACCAATGTCAGCATGGCTTAAGATGCAAAGCTGTGCGCCTTGACTCCTTGACTCACGACAATACTTAGCTTGATATGGGCCATCTATTTGATATTATATATTGATTATCTAATTAAAATAATTTTATGGTACTCTAAACACAGCTATCGCCTTTTTGATAACTTTTGAACTGTCAAACTATGCATATTACGTATACGTTAAGTTGGCTCTGCTGAATAACTTGCGTCACAATTGAAATTCTAGCGCACAACATCATCAAGCCAAAGTTCCACAAAACGACACAAAAATACCAATTGAAAAATGAAAAGGAGCGCAGTGCAGCACACACATCAAGCCGCACACACAGACACACACACATGCAAGCCCACAAACGGGATGTCAGTTGTGTGTGGCAGTTGCGGCAGCTGTGCGGCCACGTGAAGTGCTTGGCCCAAATCCGGCTTCAACTTAATCCCGGTGCTTGGCATTGCTTTGGATCAACGCCGACAACTACAACTGATGTTGATAATCACAATGATGATAATGATGATGATGATGATGATGATGATGTGGAGAACGACTAACGGGCTGGCAATCAAAAAGTCATCAAATATGAATTTTACGCTACAATTTTTCACCTGTGCATGTGCGAGTGCCATTTTTATGGCTTTTCCCAGAGCCAAGGCAGGCCAGACCCTTTGGCACGTCTTTCAACTCAATTGCACTTTTGTGCATTGCCAAAGTGGCACAACATCTGATTATGTGCGCTGCCTATGCCTCTGCCAGCAGCTGAGTATGTGTGCGTATTTAAGGCTTATGTTGTTGTTATGGGACCTGCTGTTGAGGCCAACAATTTGTACTTTCATACTGATTAAATTACAACTACAATTCACATTAACAAAGGCATATATATATATATATATGAATCTATTATATAAATATATATCATATATATTTATATATTAAATATATAAAATGAATAAATTGAATTTGAATATATAATCAGAATGTCAATAAGAAACATAACACTCGTTCAGTCTGAGCTCTGGAATGTTTCCTGCGATGACTATGACGAGGTAATGGGAAATCTTGATTAACATTTTGACCGCCGTCGCCTCTTCATGGCAACTGGCACTGATTTTGACTTCCTTGTGCCTACGCAGAGTATTGGGTCGAGGACAACTATTTCAGCACTTTTTTTATACACCATTTGGCCATTTTACAGCTTTGCTGGCGCCTGCCTTATGCCAAACCCAAACCAACTGTGGCGCTCGTCATCGGCATCGCAGTCGCTGCTGCTGTCATTGGCGGCGCCATAGTTGCCAAATCCCAGCTAGACACAGTCTCTCTGTATGTGTATGTGTGTGTGTTTGTTGGTGTTGGTGTCGCGTGCGTCGTTCGTGAAGGCAGTCGCCAAAATGGCGTTGCGTGCTGCCATGAAATGTTTGTTAAAAATTTCTGCGAGCCAACTAAATCAAATACGACTAGCTCATCTATTTGTATATAAATGTATGTGTATGTATGCATGTACATATTTATATATATATATATGTAATTAAGAGTGTATATAGGCACATGAACACACGCATACTGCGAAAGTCATATGCGTCACAGTCAGAACATGGAGACAGCGCCAAGCAAAAATCATAAAAAGATTTATGGCGCAGTCAAGGCAAAGACGCGGAGCCAACTCGGAGACATCTATAAAGCATAAAAGCCAACCAGCGAACGCCCAAAAGCTGCGTGCGAAAAGTGCTTTGTTTTGCCTTTGTTTGCCCATGAACCTGTATAGCCCCAACACTGGCCGAAACGCTGGCAAAGTTGATAACTAAAATGGCACTAAGATAGATAGATAAAGTTGAGCAGTGAATGGCCATAAATCGAATGGATGAATCTGAGTCGTAGCAGTCGAGGTGATGGTTGTTATTGGCTAATGAGGCACGCGTGTGCCTAAATCATGCCACGATACGCGATGACAGTGGAAGTCTGGCCAGAGCTTCACGTTGCTGCCAAAACTTCTATGGCTGTCATTTGGCTAAAATGTGCCAAACTCTAATATAAAACTTATCGTACATAATTGAAGATATAATGCTTGAGGCAATTTGCATCTTCTGTAATCATTGTCAGTGCTCAACTAGAACATGGCAGCTAGAACTTCCTGGCGATGTAGTTTATATTGTCGATAAATAACTGTTTAGTATGAATAGGTACCTGTCAAATATTGTTTGGTAAATTTCGTGTTATTTATATGTCATCAAATAATCTGACCATACTGCCCCCTTGCTAAACATTATAGTTCCATAGTCAGGCTGCGCAGGACTGCGAGCTCTGCCAGGCTCGTAGAAAATGTTCTTGAAAATCCTTTTTACATTTTTCACAGCAAGAACGTTAAATATTTCACAACTGCTTTGCTTTCCAGCCGCATAAAAGTGCTCGACAGATTTGTGATTAACAGCGCAATAGCACTAGGAACGGATGCAAAGTTGTTGGCTTATAGCGGGTAGAGTCGTCTTATATTCGACGTGCGAGATGAGATCTATGTCGTCAGGGAACAGATATGGACACAGACAAATAGTAATTCGTTTGTCTTAAAATTTGACTCTTCTTCGATTTGAAGTGGAATTTGACTCAATGACCGTTAATGGCAAATTAAAAGAGCTAACTTTTTGATCAGAGTATTCTATCTAGTTTCTATTGTGAAACAGAAAGTCAAATAGGCAAGGCTTCTGCAATCGGTGACTAATTTGTTTACCTGCCGCATAATGCAGTACCAGACAGTTAGAGCAGGTGCCAAGCGAAGCAACTTAACTGCTACGGTCTGCGACAGCGTGATTATGAATGCTGGCAGCTAACACGACGATGGCTTCGCCACATCATGTTCAAAATGATGAGAGGGTAAACAAAAATACATCTAAAGTTTGCTAAACGGTCTCGGGCACTATTGCAAATTGGTAACAACATATGCTCCATCGAGGTTTGACTATCATTTGCTTACAACGGGTGCAGTCGAGTTATATTCGACTTGGGCTATGTATGTAAAAAGGCATGAACGAGATGTACCCAAGAAAAAATTGTAATTGAAAAATGTTATTCAACTGGCGATGTCGTTAGTAACTTAGTCTTAAAGTTTTAAATTTCTAGCCGTAAAATTAAAAGTAAAAATGGTTCTCCTGATTTCTAACGCCCCCAGTTGGCGTGCATATAGAATTTTTGAGTAGTCGTTTAAGTGTAAAGCTAAGTAAGTGTAAATGTTGGGGATCACACTCCAAACCAAAGAAATCTTCAACATATTTTCGAAGCCCACCTATTCGTCAATGCAAGTATATGTTTGGTTTGCGTTCATGCGGAAGGAGGTACAAGAGCAAAACAGGTACTGCATAAGCCGAATATACTGCTTCACTTTGTCAAAATCATTTAGCCACATTTTACCCCATCAACACAAAAAATTTATCGTGCGTTTTATTTCCAGGCGAACAAAATACTTATACATTATTTAGCTATACTTTTTTAAAATAAAAATTGATTTTAGTAGGCGACTGCCAATAATTTTAGGACCCTCAACCTGAATGGGGAATACTTTCTCATTCCTATTCAGTACTTCGATCTGAAAGCAACACAAAACAATTTTACAAAATTCTTTAAATTTGAATATCAAATAAAAAGTCATTTCATTTTCGATCATTTCTAAGCTCGTTCGATAAGTCGCCAACCAATTTTCTGCTTTGAGGTAACAAGTGATCGACTGCAGTAAGTAAAGTTGAATGGTGAATATTGAAAACAATAGCGTTAATGCATTCACAATCAGAATCTATTAAATATGGATGGTGAAGGTGAGGCAGGAACACCAGCACCAGCTGCAACAACAGCTGGAGGAGATCTTGTGCAAAGCAATTATTGGCTCATTGCGGGTGCAGTCGCCTTGTATTCGACTAGGGCTTTATATGTCAAGGTCCGCAATATGGGCCTGGGCAAGATGAGCCTTGTCAAGAGCGAGGAACTTTGCTCAGAACGACCAGACCCGCAAGAAGAATAATAGTTAATAACAAGCGAGAGGACGGGAATACAAAAATAAACAAGGTATTAAAACATATGGAAGACAGCTTTGAGGCGTTGGAGTGCTTGCGATTTTAGGGGGTCGCAAGTTAATTTCAACGCTCTACCTTCTACCTAAGGATCTCTTAAAAACACACTAAACCATTGTTGCTGTTGCCTAGTTCAATTGTTCGTCGTTTGTGCTGCAATGACAAGTGAGGTGCTTTGAGAAATAAATTGGCAAAATTTACGTTTACCGCATGGCTATGTATGTTTTACTTAAATGTTATGAGAAATACTTTAGAAAAATTAAAGTTGGGTCATTATCGCCATGACAAATATTAGATTTCTGTGATGGTAGAAAAATATTAATTCGATTTTTGAGTCGCCGTTGACATCAGCTAACGATGCTCTATAAAGATTTAATGCCTTATTTGCAGCGTGAATGTCGGAAATATCTTTATCCATCGCTTTTGAGCCTAAGCTTATGATATATATGAGCATGATCAACTACAGTAAGTAAATTTTAATACTGAATATTCAAAAGACAATAACGTTAATGCATTCACAATCAAAAAATGTCCAATACAAATGGACGTCATAGTCTGCAAGCTAAGCTAGCAAAATAAACCTTTCAAGATTCACCTGAGCCAGGAACTTCGCTCAAAACTAATAGTTCGGCAAGAAGAATGGTTAAAAACTAAAGGTGGGAAGGCAAAATTAAACCTTTAGGTATTAAGACATGGAAGACAGCTTTGAGGCATTGGAGTTCTTGCGATTTTAGGGGGTCGCATGTTAGTCTAAGCGCTTCACCGTCCTCCTAAGTATCTCATAGGAACACAGTTAAACCATTGGTGTTGCCTAGTCCAATAAAAAAAATTGCACATGTTGCTTACATTTTAAGGTCCAGTTGCCCTCTTAAAACTTAAGGCGTCTAATGTTGAAAGCCTCTGACAAAAAGGCTGAACATATATGAAATTGATCCAAATGCCAAAAATATGGCCTCTTTTCAAGGTACGAACGATCCTTAAAAACCATGTAAGAGTGATCTAGTCGAAACTGCTCGACTTGGCGACACCCTGAGCCCTGTGAGGAGGTGGTATTTCAATCATTCTACACAAAGCAACTTCGCATGGACTATGTTTATGGGCTTTGCTATGGAAATAGTTTTTCTAGATGGGCTTTCTTAATCAAACGATCAGATAATGACATTTATATCTATCTGCGCAAGCACAAGTCTACATTTGGCAGACGCGGAGGAGGTCTCCAAAATACAAAATACAATAATTTGTTATTCATTACAGAAATATTTACTGTAATTCTGATGTGACCAATTTTAATGATATTCCAGTTACGCTTAAAAAACAGTACAATTTTCGATTTTTATCGATAAGCAAATGGGATGAGTTATCGAAAACAATTATAGTTCCTACTGCGTATGCTAAAGACGGATATTTTAATTTTTAACTTTAGCTTCTTGTTTAACGAGATCGCTGTGGCGTGCTTTTTAACCAACAAAGTTGAAATCTAGCTAAGAATACCAATACCAATACCAATACGCCGCGTTATCAGATGAGTTTGGAAAACCGTAGAATAGAATAGAAAAATGAATACATAAATCTCGATTTCAGCAGTATACTCTGGCTTAAAAGCCCAATCACGAGTGAAGGCTAAGCGCTAAAACCGCTATAGCTTTTAGGATAATAAGCTGCAATAAATTGAAATAAAAAACAAGTAAGAAAACTCTAGGCGGGATGCCCGACGAGGAGACACCCTGATCCCAGTCATATCTGCGTTTTTTAATATTTTCCGTAGTTTGTATCGAGTGTTAAAAAATAAAAATAAAAATAAAACCTTACCACATCAAGATTCGAACCCACAATTTTTACGCAATGCGCATCAACTCCACCTACACCGCCACTTAATAATAAAAAAATAAAATATAACAATAAAACATGTCCTTGGACTACTCGCTAATGCGCGCCTACCCATTCAGTTGCAAATTCGATCGCAATTTTGATTCTTCGAATAGAAAAAAAAAATTTGAATGTATGTGTACACACGTATGGGAAAAGTTCAATGTTCAAAGAAAATTATAAATGTTTAAGAGTAACTCTGCCGTTCCTCAATATTTGCAAACGGTCGATGTTTGATGCTTTAACATTTCATTTTTTATAACCAAATAAAATACTACTTTCATTCGAAATTTTTTTGGAAAAAAGTTGACTGCTAACTAACAGTCATTTTACGATCCTCAACCTGATTGAGAAATATTTAATCATTCCTCTTTAGTGCTTCAATGTGAAAACAACACAAAACAATTTCACAAAATTCTTTAAATTTGAATCTCAAATCAAAAGTCATTTCTTTTATCCATCATTTCTAAGCGCGTTCAAGAAGTCACCGACAAATTTTCTGCTTTGACATCGAGTGATTGACTGTAAGTAAAATTAAATACTGAATATTGATAACAATAACCTTAATATATTTACAATCAGGCTATTCATTGCAAATGGCAGTTAGAGACTCAGTTGACATTTTCGATAATTTGTTTGAGTCTTCTGCGAATATTGTGGCAAGCAATTATTGGCTCATAGCGATTGCAGTCATCTTGTATTCGTCTAGGGCTTTATATGGGAAGGTGAACCTGTCAAGATCCACGTGGTCAATATCCGGGAACAATGCTGAAAACGACCAGTCTCGCAAGAGAAAAAGTCTTATTCAAAGCTCACGAATGATGGCAACGAGGCATTGAGGCGATTTTAGGGAGTCGTAAGATAATTTCAACGGTCTACATTTACTTACGTGAGATTACTTATGTTAGATATCATAATATACTTAAACCATTGTTGCTGTTGAAATGATTTGAAAAATAAATTTATAAAATTTACGTTTATGCGTGGTTATATTTTTTTAATCTTGATTGATGTATGAATAAGCTGTGCTAGCGGGCAGAGTTCGAATACAATTGGGCTAATGTCTTCTCTTATCGGCTAATTTCTGCTGCTGAAGTCAACTTTTGCGGTGTTCCATTTACGATTAATAAACGATATCTAACTCGATTTTTATCGTGAAGCAAGTGCGTATGGCAAACACGAGTAAATGGGTATTTAAAATTTTAAGTCTAGCTTATGTTTGACACGATCACAGTATTTATACTGGTGGACGAACAGACAGTTATCCACAGATATTTACTGATATGAAATACCTTTAACGAGCTCTGTGACTATCAATACCAACTTGGGTTCGAAACTCTCGGCGATGAGACAATAAGGCTTTAATTATTTTTTTAATTATGAAGTGTCGGAGTCGGTAGATTTTTTTTTTGAATACTCGATACAAACTACGGAAAATATTAAAAAATTCAGATCGGAGGACTGGGATCAGGGTATCTCATAGTCGGGCACCCCGACTAGAGCTTTCTTACTTGTTTAAAATAAAAAAAAATTTTTAGTAGGCGACTGCCAATAATTTTAGGACCCTCAACCTGAATGGGGAATACTTTCTCATTCCTATTCAGTACTTCGATCTGAAAGCAACACAAAACAATTTTACAAAATTCTTTAAATTTGAATATCAAATAAAAAGTCATTTCATTTTCGATCATTTCTAAGCTCGTTCGATAAGTCGCCAACCAATTTTCTGCTTTGAGGTAACAAGTGATCGACTGCAGTAAGTAAAGTTGAATGGTGAATATTGAAAACAATAGCGTTAATGCATTCACAATCAGAATCTATTAAATATGGATGGTGAAGGTGAGGCAGGAACACCAGCACCAGCTGCAACAACAGCTGGAGGAGATCTTGTGCAAAGCAATTATTGGCTCATTGCGGGTGCAGTCGCCTTGTATTCGACTAGGGCTTTATATGTCAAGGTCCGCAATATGGGCCTGGGCAAGATGAGCCTTGTCAAGAGCGAGGAACTTTGCTCAGAACGACCAGACCCGCAAGAAGAATAATAGTTAATAACAAGCGAGAGGACGGGAATACAAAAATAAACAAGGTATTAAAACATATGGAAGACAGCTTTGAGGCGTTGGAGTGCTTGCGATTTTAGGGGGTCGCAAGTTAATTTCAACGCTCTACCTTCTACCTAAGGATCTCTTAAAAACACACTAAACCATTGTTGCTGTTGCCTAGTTCAATTGTTCGTCGTTTGTGCTGCAATGACAAGTGAGGTGCTTTGAGAAATAAATTGGCAAAATTTACGTTTACCGCATGGCTATGACTGTTTTACTTAAATGAGAAATACTTTAGAAAAATTAAAATTGGGTCATAATCGGAAATCTCATTAATTATTGTGGACTTCTGATAATAGGGCAAGAAATTATATGTATTCGCTTATTAAGGGCTTGGTTAATCGGAAAAGTCCAGATGTTTTGGAACTGACAGAATTTAGGATGTGATAGAGTCGCTACCGACTGCGACGTTAGATTTGATTAATATTTGTTTAATTGTAAAGATTTTTTAAGGGAAATTAAATAAATTTTTATTATATCTATCGGGCCATCATGCCAAAGGGAGTAAAACTGCTTTTATCTATTGTAATTGGACCATGTCAGTGGATATAGCAAAGTAAAGTGGGTCTTAACAATATGTTTGACCTTAGCTAAAGGAAGTATCGTTCTACGTTTCAAATGTTCTTGTGGACTGACTGACATCAGGCTTATTGGCCATTAAGAAAAATGAGGCTGCAGTAGTTTGCTTACCTTCGGTTTGGCTTTTTCATGGATAAATGAAAATGGAATGAGTTACTGAAAAGCATGATCACGCTTACTGCGTACATGAGTATACGGCTATTTCAACTGTCGAGTCAAGCTTTTATGATTTACTAGATCGTCGCGATCATACGACAGATGGACTCATCCCTTCGTTCATATCTAGAATACATATGCCTTATGGGGTCTGTCACGGTAAGTAAAATGATAAGTGCTACAAACACTGTGCCATTGTTAACTATTGTGAAATCATCTACCTACCTACATATACTTTTCTTTGCCCCAAATATAAGCGATTTAAATAGCCTCTTGAGTTTCTACTATGGACCATTAATTTGAGAAATCCTGTTTTTACGATATTCTATATATTCTGCATTTGCTGAGTGTCCTTCCATTTCACAAGCTTCTGCTTAGGATTAACACTGCCATTTATCAATATTTGCAATAGGTCAATGTTTGGTGCTTTGCATATCATTCGTTCTAACCAAATCAAATATTTCCACTACTTTGTTTTACAATTATTTCAAATAAAAGTTGACTGCTAACTAACAGTCAATTTACGACCCTCAACCTGAATGTGGAATAATTTATCATTCGTATTCAGTACTTCGATCTGAAAGCAACACACAACAATTTTACAAAATTCTTTAAATTTGAATATCAAATAAAAAGTGATTTAATTTTTCGATAATATTTTTAACTCGTTGAAAAAGTCACCGACTAATTTTCTGATTTGACAAATAAAGTGATTGACAGAAGTAAGTAAAGTTGGTTACTGAATACTGAACATTTAAAACAATAGCGTTAATGCATTCACAATCAGAATCTATTAAATATGGATGGTGAAGGTGAGGCAGGAACACCAGCACCAGCTGCAACAACAGCTGGAGGAGATCTTGTGCAAAGCAATTATTGGCTCATTGCGGGTGCCGTCGTCTTGTATTCGACTAGGGCTTTATATGTCAAGTTTCGCAATATGGGATTGGGCAAGAAGAGCTTGGTCAAGAGCGAGATGTGAGCTGGTGATGTGGGAAGAGATGAGGACACAGAAAAAAATTGTTGCGTAGCGTTGATTTGCATGAAAGGTTAAATTTAAATGTTTAGAAATTTGATTCTGCTTCGATTTCAAGTGGAACTTGGCTGACATGCTAAATAAAAATTACCGTTAATGGCAAATTAAAAAAGCTAACTTTTTGAGCAGAGTATTATATCTAGTTTCTATTGTGAAACAGTCCAATAGGCAAGGCTTCTGCAATCTGACTAATTTGTTTACCTGCCGCAAAGTCGTTACAACAGTCGGGCATAATGCAGTACCAGACAGTTAGAGCAGGTGCCAAGCGAAGCAACTTAACTGCTACGGTCTGCGACAGCGTGATTATGAATGCTGGCAGCTAACACGACGATGGTAAACAAAAATACATCTAAAGTTTGCTAAGCAGTCTCAGGCACTATTGCAAATTGGTAAAAAATGCTCTGTCGACGTTCGGCTAAAATATGACACATCGAAAAGTACGCTTGCAGTGCATTTTTTATAGATTTGTCGGGAATTTATGATCGGCTAACATCTTATTTTGACTGCAGCCCCGGCTCAAGCCGATATAATCAAGAGTTCTATATACAGAGTTCTAATATAGTTGTGCAAGCTCTACTCTACTTTCTAATATATTATGAAACAAATGGTCACGTTTGCTTAGAGAATATTTCTGAGTAGCACTTTTATAGACGATTAAATTCATGATTCATTTTCGACAGACTTCATAAAATAACACTAGGGAAAATTTTAAAATTATATGGAAAATTTTCGCTTTTAGTTTTAAATATTTATTTCGGGAATTTTTTTTTATCAGTGCTTAGGCATGAATGACGCAGATAACCTTGTAGCAGGAAGCTATTTCCCGTTTAGCGCGAGCCCTGCTCTATTTAATACGGGAAATGCCTGGAAATCGTTAGCGGCTGTAGCTTTCTACTGGACCTACCCCGTGTGGAAGAAGCTATTAATGTTAGGAGTATTCGATGGGGAGGAAGATGCTGAGAAAGGTGACAATACGGACACAGTAAATATTTATTTGGTGAGCTCCACGAGCTTGAGGGACAGGCAGAGGAAGAGTGCAAAACTAATTGATATGAGTAACAGCAAAATATGCCAGCGCGAGCAATCAAAATCGGAAATTCAACAGAAATCTTGGGATGCCTTCTATACAGAAACGCTAAATAATCTTCAATAAATTTATAACTTTATAGAAGTAACTTCAGGAATATGGAGTAATCTTTCGTGTTGTCTTATGCAACTTGTCCGACTGCAATATTCTCACTTGTTCTTAATTGATTGCTTAGATGTTGAGCAGTCGGCAGATCGTACACTTGTTGATGTAGATGATATAATAATTGTAACCATATCTTTCGTAACATGCCGCAAACATGTCTGAGCGCCGAACGCTGCAAGCTCCAAATAAGCAAAAGCTCAAGCTTTTTTTTACAAATTTTCTTTTCCACCACCGCAAACAGTTTTTATACCCTAAACCCATTGGAAATTTGATTTCTGGGCAAAATGGTTTTGTGAAAATGTCACAGGCAGGAGCAGTGGCAGATGATGTATTTCTTATTCTTTATCAGGATGACAAGCTGAGTCGCTTGAGCCCTGTCCGTATGTCCGTCTCTCCGAAGTCTCTTTTTAGAGCACGATCCGCAGAATTTATTACAATACTTGTAGAGTATTTTTATCATTATTATATATATATGTTATATTATATATTTATCATAGGTATCTACATAAGATTTGCGGAAAGAGTACAGATGAGTCGCCTTGGATTATGAGCGGCTACATACGCAGATCGATTTCCCTCACGTATTTTCTTAAAGCTTTTCATTTTTCATTTTAAGTCAAAATTGCTTTGCGTTTTCTTTCGTCAGTCTGTCACACATACAGACACCTAAACACAAAAACAAACACACTCTTATTCATACATAATAAACGCGCTTTTGGCATAATTACTTGAGCTAGCGGCGGCCACAGTACAATCGATAATTATGATGTCAGCTTGGCTGTTGTTGTTGTAGTTGCTGTTGTTGTAGTTGCTGTTATCGTCATCGACTGTCTCGATAATATGCAGTTAGACGAGGCCAACCCGCATTGAAGCTGGCAACCAACGAAGCTACTTCAACGCTCTCATGTAATATTTGCCCGCAATTATTGCGAGACGCCGCGTCAATATTTCTTGTTGTTGCTATTGTTGTGTGGTTGTTGTTGCGGTTGCATGTTACAAAATAACAATTTCGCTTTCGCTTTCGGTGGCAGTCAGAGACAAGCGAGTTAGGCTTCACTTTTTTTCATGCGGATCGCACTTAATTGTGAGTCATTTGGAGCAACATCGAGCGCAGCGGATGCAATCCATAATGAAATGCCTCTGAATGCGGCCAACGGCAATATATTGTATGGCCAGACAGAGGACGTGAGGAGGCTGAGCTAAGATACCAGCAGTTGCTACCAACCTGGTTAGCTGGCCTGTCGTGGCATTAGGTGTCTGTTTGGTCCGTCCACTGTGTCCCCTTTAGCTGCTATTTGGAATTCTATGGCTTCATTTGCCCAAAGCATTTTAACCACTGACTAGCGTTGCTGTAACCTAAACACAAGATTTATCAGGAAGTGGTCCACTATATGATACCCTATGCCACTTGACTACCTTACTCTATTTTGTGTGTTGGATTTTGCATAGCAGATAGAGTTAGTTTACTCTTGTCTAGATTGTTCATGTTAGCTCTTTATATGACAGTGTACATAATTTTGGCTGACTGATATCTCAGTTAGATTTATATATATTTCTATAACTTGGTGACTCTGAATTTCAATTTCAATTTTGATGAAAACAAATTATTACACATTTTTCCAGGCATGTAACTTTGTATATTATAGTGAAGCTTTCCAGAATTTGTATTAAGTCAGTTTATTCAGCATGCAGCGTCGACATATTTTTATTATTAAAATTAACTAAAAGCGAAAACTTTTTCGTTTAAAGTTTTAATAATATGGAAAAGCGCACAGTTGCATGCCCCCAGTGGGCATGGCCCACGCAAGAAGTACTCCCACCATCAATTTGACCTTTCTTGGCTTCTTGGCAAAGAACAAATGAGCAAAGGATTAAAAAACTTTGTCGCCTGTCTGTCGTCATGTTATTGTTTACGCTTGCAAAGGGTACTTGACATTTTTCGAACAGCCCAAATATAAGACTAACTATATATGACTTTAGAGTGGAGGGGCTGGATTTCTGGTCAATCTTTAGCAGGACTTTATAGTAACGTATGTTAGCAGTAACTCAAATCGTATTTATATGCTTAGATATATTATCTATATATTTTTAGAAACGGGTTGTGCTACACTTCAGGTCTATAGATGGATTGTGTTCATAGGTACGGACCCTAAATACTCTTTCACTTTCACGCGAATGTGTATAAAAACGGATTTCTCACTTTTTACAGTCGTTGGGGCCGCGCTTTATATTTCTTGGCTGTTGAATCCAATTTAAATTTAATTACTTCAAATGCCAACTTTTGACACACATTACGATGTTGAGGGTGGTTGTTTGGCGCCTATGGGGCAGGCAGTGGGGCATGAACTGCGGCTAATGAGCCAAGTCTGCTGGCTGCCAAGACGCCGTCAATGAGTTGATGCCACGCATTTCGTTTGGCAATCTGTCACTTAGACAGTCCATCATTTGCTCAGTGAATTTTGTCAGCCCAACAACGCAATTGTATTTAGCATAATTTATGCGCGCGATGCCTGCAACTTTCGTACTTCTGTAACTGCGGCTATTTCTGTCTGTGAGTTGATGCGCAAATATGTGAGATTCAGTTGTAGAGATTCCATTTGCTTCACTTTGCCTGGCTCATTGTCGCTGCCTTTAATCAGATCAACATTATTAGCAGCAGCAACAACAACGATGGGTAACAACAGCAATGCCATTTCAGCCATAAGTCATAAAGCACGTGCCACGCCCGCTCCTCCAGCAAATCGCCGAAGGCTGTGTTTGCTATTCGCTAGTGTCTCATTGATGTCAGTTTGCTTTTCCATGCAAGTGATGTTGTTGCCACTTTTGTTGTTGTTATTGTTGATTTTGCTGCTTAATATTAATCGGATTGCTATTGCTATAATCTTTTGCTCTACATGTGTACATAAGCGCGTGTGTGTGAGTGTGTGTGTGCTGTTTGTGAACTCTTTAGAACCATTAGCAATTATTATGTATGTTGACGTTTTCTGTCTTAGCACCCACGATAACAGCCAATTATTCTGTTGAAGTGTACTCATCAGCCGAGATTCTTGACTTTCAGATCTTTTTGTCAATGGGTTGGAATTTAATAAGCAACTCCGAACAAAAAGGTTGTCTGCAACTGCATGTAAACGCTAGCTAAATATAATTGACAGTCACAAAAATTATTCACATTAATTCATTTCGTTCATTAAACAATAAACATTATATTTGTAAACATATCATGAAAACTCTATGGCTTAAAAATCGCACATCTTTGGCAAATTGAGTTAGCCATGGTCGACATTAGCTTTAAGCATCGCCCGTTCAACTATACAATGCGAATTACATGGCAACCTCAAGTTAACCCCAAGCCCGAAATGCCAACAAGGACGACGGCGAAGGCGGCTGCCCGCCTTCAGGACAAAAGACGCAAGACAAAAAATGCCGCCATGGAGCCAAAGTGTGAAAATGGTAAAAGTGTCGGGCGCGACCGGAAGGAATCACAGGACGGAGTCGAGTCGACGGTCGAGTAACATGTTGGCATCGTCTAGAAACTTACAAACATGACATTAAATGTTGCCCGTCTGTCTGAAGCGACTTTGAATGGCGCAACAACAAGCAGCTCAGATGAAATCAAGACAAAACAGGTGGAAGACGCACTG